GGGGGGGAGGCTGGGGAGCCCCTCCCATCACAGCCCCCCCTCTCCCTCTGTGTCTCTGGGTTTGTGGGGGGTTGTCTTTGTTTGTGTGGGGGTGTCAGGGTGAGCTTGGGGCTTTCCTGCGAGGGCCTCCCCCCTCCCCAGAGAGTGGGTGTGTGTGAAATAGCTGGGGAAGAGAGAAAGGGAGGGGGCTCTCCTCCCCCCCTTCTGCCCTCTCTCCTTATTTATTTAATTTATATGCCGCCCACACTACCCAAAGGTCTCTGGGCGGCTTACAGCATTTAAAATACAATAAAGATATGTAACAATTAAAATATATATAAAATTGCCATCGGACCCTAATGTGCTCTTTGTCCTCTTTGTTGTGTGAAGGTTTGGTCTAATTAGCACTAAAACAAGCCCTCTGTAAATAAATCTCTGGAATCAACGCATTCATTCCTTCATACCCACGACGTACCTGTTCAATCCAGGCAAGGGCTCTCAGGAGCCGGTGGGCTCCCCCGTCCCGGCTGGGGAGTGTTTGGGGGACGGAGGGCAGGAAAGTCTCTCTTCATGTCGGGAAAGGGATGGAGGATTAAATGTGGGTCATCTTTTTCTCCTTCCCGCTTCAAGTGTCCCTTGAGGAGGTTGACCCCGTATTGCCCCCAACTCAGAGGGTGGGATCTTCTGGATCGAGGCTTGAGATCTCTGCGCGAGGACCTCCTGCTGGAGATTTCTGGGATCGAGGTCTCTCCAGGTAAGGATCCTGTTGCCTCTTGGGCCGAGACTGGGAAGGATGATGGTTGGCTGCCCCACCGAGGATGCCTCGGTCAACGGAAGCGCCCTGAGCGTGTGTGTCGGGAGTCCAAAGCTCCTGTGCCACAGTCAAGAACATGACCGTAGATTTAAGAAAGCATTTTGTTCTGCTGCTGCACCCGACTGGAGAGTTGGGATCCAGTGCAGGTTTTTGGATTTAACTTTAGTTTCTCCTTCTTCAATAAATAAATTAATAGGGGGGGGGAATTTATTTCCTTTGACTGCATGAAGCTTCCTTGTTAATTTTTCCTGTACTGCCGTCTGCCCTCTTTCACGGTGTCCGGTTGTAGCCGAAACCCCTTGAGGATTTCTCCAAAATGGATCAGTGGCTATTCTGTCCATCTAACACATGGCTTAGAAAAGGCTTGTAAACCAAATTTTCCTGATGTCCTCTATCTCTCTTTCACACACACACACACACACACACACACACACACACACTCACACTCACACTCACACTCACACTCACACAGACGTGCTGTGTTGTATAGAATGACATTTCCAAGGATTTAACTGTGGATCCCCTCACCCGCCCCCCCCCTTTGAACCTTTTCTTGCTGGCCATCTCCGTGGGTCTGTGCACATGCAGAGGTCCCTTGAAGCACATCTCGTCTGCATGTGTGTCTGTGTGTGTGTTTGTGTGTGTGTGTGTGTGTGTGTGTGTTTCCCTTTGCCTTGGGGGGCTTCGCTCCCTCTCAAGCAACTGGGGTGCAGGCACTCCTCTTTCCCTCCCTCTCCCCTCCGAGTGCTGAGCAAAAAGGGGGGGAAGGCCTGAGGGGGGCCACTGTGCCTGTGCAGTGGGGAGGGGAATGGAGGGGGCCTCACTTGGAAGCCGTTTTCTTAAGGAGAGGGAAAGAGGCTCCTCTGGGCAACAGAGGCGCCTGAGGTGGTTCTCCTCCCTCTGGAGGGGGGATGGAGGCGCCTGAGGTGGTTCTCCTCCCTTTGGAGGGGTGATCTCTCAGGTTTTCTCTGTATGTGCAGGCAAGGAGGGCCTTTTTCAAGGTTTTGGGGCAGGCAGAAGTTCAACAGGATGGGCCGTCCCCTTCCTCTGGGTCTCCACATTGACCACAAAAACTTTTTCTGCATCAGTTCAGTTGAGCAGAAAGACCCTTTTCAACTCCCCCTCGCCAATCACTCTCTGGTCCTTTGCTTTTTTCCTTTTCTTGTCTCCTTTTCTCCTCCTCTTCCCCCCTTTCCGTTGCTCTTAATCATTGTTCCAGGAATGGATGTCAGGCTGATGGGGCAATAATTATTTGGATCTCTTTTTTTCCCAAGGAAAGTCTTTGGGTCCATTACAAATATCTCGACACCCCTCCTAAATTCAGGTTTTGAACATTCCCGTTCTACTTGACAAAACTACATGTCTTCCTTCTGGAATTGGAATTGTATTTTGGACATATGTGTTTGCTTCTGGCTTTTACACTTGTGCTCTCAGATGAACGGATACATACTGTATTATCTGTAAAAATAGGCAAAGGCTCAGTTACATTAACATTTAAATCTTGAAATTAACGGTTTGATCCACACTCATTCAGCTAATTCATTAAAAGAACTCATTCCTGCTTCTGTGTCACTCGTGGAAATTCCTGTTTGTTTCCTGGACGTCCACATCACAACAAGCCTCCCCCAGATAGACTGCTAAACCAGAAATTGCCTTTCTCTCTCCAGGATCAGTTGCCCAGTCAGCATCTGCAGATGCTTTTAATTCTAGACAGCTTCCAACCTTTGTGATCCACAGTGCCCTTTAAATACCTCAATAACCTTTTTAGTCCATTCCAATGGTTGACTTGTGGCTTCACACACTTCAGACTAAAATGTTAACACTGGCAGCGATATCAGGTCTTGTCCATACTGATAAATACAACAACGACCATATCGCTAATCGATACAAGGGAATGTTTTCAAAATCTCCTGTATCATTATCTTTATAGAAGTCGGTCACCATAGGAGTAGAAATTTTGTTTGCTCCAGACTTGTTACATTACTTAAGCAAATTCTCTATTTTATCTTTTTGACTTAGAACAAAATGCCCTCGTTCAGCCTTGCTCACATGGACCTCTGGGTAATTCTGAATTTCTCCTAGATACTTCATTTTAAAGTGTTTGTTCATGTTTTCCTGAAACCGCTCTACCTGGCTTTTGTTCTCCACAACAATGCTGTTAACAAAACCTAGCTATTTTATGTTGGTGCCTCAATTTATAACTGTCCCAACTTGAGACTAAATTGAGTTACGGCCAGCTCCGGTTGCAAAATTTTGCTTTGACCTGTGACCAGGGCTTTGAGATTCTACCGGGGGAAAAGGCCGGGAAGTTTGAACTGCTTTCCCTCCTTTTCTCCTTCAGTTAACCATTGGTCAGCAAAGAAGCTGCTTCTTTGTAGCTCCTTCGACCCAGTGATTAGAGAGTGTGCGTTCTGATAGAGGCTTTGGACTGCCTGTTACTACTTTTATTTTTGCTTTTTGGCTTTCTTTCTTTTTTTGCTCCTTTTCATTGTATACTGTTATTATTTTATGGATTGCTGTTATGTGCCAATAGTAGACGTCAGTCTAGATGAGAGGGGTATATATTAAATAAATCAATAAAATAAATAAGGAAAGCATCAGACCACCTGCAGTGTTTTGGCCAAAATCTGGGGCATTTGAAGGTTTGACCTGTCAGGTTCTGAATGCCTACAGTATGTAAGGGGAAAAAGTTCAGTAATGCAGGAAGAGGTAAACTATGCATCTTGTTGGAAATGGAGTAATTTTGTCTCTATGAACCATCTAAAATGAGAAGAAAAAGAAGAGAGGACCCCTTAGATAACCCCCCCTGCCCCCATACATTGCCCCAAAACCTAATTCACCCCTTGCCCCACTCGTGGTGGGTATGAGTCGTTTAGTATTGAAATAGTCCCCAACCCTCTCCCTCCTCTGCCCACAGTGGTGTGGTCCCGAAATGGAGTAATTTTGTCTCTATGAACCATCTAAAATGAGAAGAAAAAGAAGAGAGGACCCCTTAGATAACCCCCCCTGCCCCCATACATTGCCCCAAAACCTAATTCACCCCTTGCCCCACTCGTGGTGGGTATGAGTCGTTTAGTATTGAAATAGTCCCCAACCCTCTCCCTCCTCTGCCCACAGTGGTGTGGTCCCTGAATACCAAACATCATACCAGCTCCAGGTACAAAGGTTACCCTGATCAGTATTATCAGCCCCGTAAGGTGTAAACAAAGGATCCAGAAACTCTTGCCCAAACACTTCCCACCTGTGTACTTCAGCCCAGTAACAATTGTCACTTTGATGTACAGTGGACCCTCGACTTACAGACGGCTCGACTTACAGACTTTTCGAGTTACAGACTTCTCTGGCTGCAAAATTTAGATTCGACTTGCAGCCAGAGAATCGACTTACAGACCAGGAAAAAACCAAAATGGAATAAAAATAGAATAAAAACCACTGGTTATGGGATTAATCAGTTTTCAGTGCATTGTACGTCAATGGAGATTCGACTTACAGACTTTTCGACTTGCAGCCACCATTCCAATACGGATTAATTCCTTAAGTAGAGGGTCCACTGTAGACTGTGCTGTTTGGCACATAATTCTTGAGTGAGCTTTCTCTTCCTTTTATCCCCGTTCAACATTTTTCGACTGTTTGGACTGCTGTTTCAGTGATTAGTAACATTTGAAACAGGCCTTCTTCAATTTCTGATCTTTTCATGACTTTATAAGCGCCAACCCTCCCGGTTGGTACTAATGTACAGCAAATTCCAATGGAGGAGATGGAGTCAAAAACATGTTTGACCTGAGAAAAGAAAAAGAAGTGTACAGCTCAGGTGTCTATTGCTTAAGAAACTTATCAGTCGTTTGAAACTGTGGATATTCCAGCTCTTCCGTACAGGGTAGGCCAAACAGCATTTCACATGGTGATAAACCAGTATCCTTCCCGAGGGGCAGTAATGCAATGCAATTGGCCCTTATCCATGGCAGCTTTGTCTCCAACACTAATTTTGCCGACTGCTTTTTGGGCCTTTGATTCATTCGCTCTACCCACCCAGAGAAGGGAGCATGAAATTCCCATGTTATGTTATCACCATCCATTATCCCCTGCAAAACCTTAGAAGTGAAATGACTCCCTTGATCTGAGTCCACTGTTTCCTGTAAGATGATCATCATCTGTTTCACAATTGGTTTTGATAACTTTTGTTGGCCATCTGGGATAACTGATTTTCTGTCCTCCATTTCAATTGCATTTTCTGTTCTCCATTTCAATTGCTCCCAGTTTCATAAATTCTCTTTATTCTGCTTTGGAGAATTTTAGCTGTATCACAGGTTCTACTGGGTCTTCTATCAATGACTTCATCTCCTTCTTAAAACTCCTTATTTCCGCACTACTTGGGGGGGGGAGTCACAAATCCTACCTGATTAGGCCCCATCACTACTTCCCAAAGGGGACATGATTCAAGGTGAATTAGCTTCAAATGCCCCAAATTTTGGCCAAAACACTGCAGGTAGTCTGATGCTTTCCATAGTTCAGTTCATGCGAAACAACTAGTAGAGTCTACCAGATTGGTGGGAAATAAATCAAATAAATAAATAAATAAATAAACAACAAATTATCTTCTTATCTTTAGTATTTTTCTCTTCCAAGCATAGCCTAAAATTAGGATAATGTAGCTGTTTATTATGATTATGATTATGATTATTGTTATTATTAGGATAACTTGGGTTGGGGTAAAGGGGATGGGAAGAGGGTTTGGGTTAGGGGGAAATGTGAAACAAAAATATACTAACATCCATTCTATTCATATTGCAATATCAAGATTCAAACTCAGCTGTTCTGCTATTTTCTGCCTTCCATATTTTAGTTCACATTTAGATCTATGTTATTCAAGCACTATCTGATGACTATTTGTGGAAAAAGTCCCATCTTTTTGTTGCCTTTTGTAATGGACTGTCCATCGCTTCTGATAGACTGTCCATTTCTGCTGTTTCCTTTATTATTTCCGTAAGATCTTGTTTCGGTACCACCTGACTTTTCCAATTTATAGCGTAAAGAATTTTAGCTGTAGTAACTATATATATATAACTAGACATTTCTTTGCTTTATATTATCTGGTATCATACTCGATAAAATAGTTCTGGGCTTAATGGAAACTTACAAGCAATATTTCTTGTAACACAGTGTGTACTCCTATCCCATATTGTTTCGCTACTCTACAAGTCCACCACATATGATAAGAGCTTTCCACGTGTGTTTCACATTTCCAACAGACATTTGATAGATCTGTATACTACATCTTTGACCATTTTTCAGGAGTCATGTGCCATCTGTAGAACATCTTATATATGTTCTCTTTAAAGTTAACCGATTTTGTGAGCTTTATATTATTTTGCCATACTTGCAACCATTGATCAATATCAATATTGTGTCCTATGTTCTGTGCCCATTTAATCATACGTTCTTTAACCATCTCATCTCGCATTTTAATTTCTAACAAGTGGTTATACATTCTCTTCATTGTTTTATCTTTTGAGCCTAGTAAAGCTTTATCAAATGTCATTTGTTCTAGATAGAAACCCTCTATCTTATCTTTACTATATCTGGATTCAAGCTGTGCTCTGGACCAGTGGTTCTTAACATGGGTAATAACACCCCCCAGGGGGCGATTTCATTTTTCAGGGGGGGTGTTAGAACAAAAAGGGGCGGTGTGGGGGCGAAAGAACAGAAGGGGTGGAAGGGGGGCACTGGAGCGAGCCAAACCTGTGAAGGTGGCTGCAGCCGTGGTGCTAGCAGTGGATCGGGTGCTGCCACCACCAAATGATCCAGCTCTTTCTGCCTGCCACATCTCGCCTTTCTCCCTTAGGGGAGCACCGAGTGTGGATCGGGTGGAAGGAAAGGGTCTCTTGTGTCCCCATCCTCACCCGGTGAAGCACTGCCTCGCACCCGGATGGGGAGGGAGAGATGAGCCCCATTTGTCCATCCTGCCTTCCCACCCATTGCAAGGGAAACGCAGAGTGAAATGGGTTGGTTTGGGGTGGTGCGGAAGGATTTCTATGGACGGGGCTGGCTCGGGTCATCCTGGGTGCATGGGAATTCGGCAGCTTTTCCGACTTTTCTTGTTGGGGGTGGCTGGCTGTCGGTTGGAAGACAGTTCACCTGTCTGACTTTAAATGGCTTTGAGGGATGTTGGACTTGAAATCTTCCCCTGTCTTCTGTGTACATGGGTGTGACGTGCCTTGATGTGTAAATCCTGTTGTGGCTGGCTGGCAGTCCGGGGGAAGAAAGTTCACCTGTCCGACTTTAAATGGCTTTGAGGGATGTCGGACTTGAGATCTTCCCCTGTCTTCCATGTACACGGGTGTGATGTGCCTCTATGTGTAAATCCTCTGGGAGAGAAAGCTCTCAAACTGAACTGAGAGTGCTGAGGGCAAAATCCATGGGACTGTCATAGACAGACTTAAGTAAACGCACTGCAGAAAGTCACCCGCTCCTCTTTCTCCCTGAACCCTGAGGATCCATTCAGTGAAGGCGAAGAGGGCAGCATGTCAATGGCTTGAGTATAACAGTTTGCTTCAAGAAGGGGGTGGCAGGTTTAGACTACAACTCCCACAATCCCCTGCCCTTGGCCCACCTTCCCGCCCATTGCAATGAAAGCACGGAAAGAAACGGGTCGGTTTGGGGTGGCGCGCCGTCTCTCAGTGAGCTGTTTAGCAGTTCAGTTGTTTATTGTTCTGTTGGGTACTTGGAAAGTTGTTTTTAAGGTAATTCGTTATGGGTGTTGTTGTAACCCTCCTCCCGCAAAGTAATTTGTGTGCGTAAGTGTTGCAAAGAGTGTTAGTTACTCATTACTTTCTGACTATTGTAAAACCCTTAGGAGTGTGAAGTGATTGGCATAAAACTTGAAAATTCGTCTCAAAATCTTCTGAAAAGATAATGTGAAAATGTTACATTAAACAAGTTTCGTGTGTAGAAGGTTGCTTTGGTCAACAGACTTTTGCATTATTCTAACAATGCTCCTTGAATTTTAAAAAAAATTAAAACTGCTACAAGCAGTTTAAATATACAACCCTAATTTCCTTCTCTATTTCCTTAATACAACACTAATTTTGCCGACTGCTTTTTTGGCCTTTGATTCATTCGCTCTACCCACCC